CCAAGGATACCCAACAATCATCCAGCAATAATCAAGATTATCATTGCCGCAACCTATATACACAGGATCATATAATTATAAGGATAAAATCGAGAGGAAACAGAAGAAAAACTGACCAAACGGGAAGATTTATGTGTTCTAAGAAGGTGAAACGACAGTAGATACAACCACCACACATTCCTGTCTGCAGACTGCTGCAACAAGACTTGTATATTGGTATTTGCATCAATACCTGTCTCCAAGAATACTACTACTTCAACGGAATATATCGATCATGCCAGAAGAAATACAACACATTGATGCTACTGAAAACCCCCAGCTCCTAAAACGATATAGGTAGGCATGCCCACAGTATTAAGCTAATTAATAAACATATAAAGATTACTTAAGTTGGTGTCATCAGTTGTGAAATCCAAGACCAATTAGCAACTGGGTTCTGTATCATTAAGCATAAATCAAATTACTTAAACTAATTAATTGGTGAGTTGGGTTTTGAGCTCCCACTCTGCTCATTAACTATGCAAAAAATGTAATTTTCGTGCAAAAAAATACAATAATTGTTAGAACTACCCCAAAATCAGTATGGGTGGCAACTGCCGTAACACTTTTGGCGAATCTCACATCCGAGAAAGTACGAGAGAGATTTATGATCCATAAATAAGACACCGACATTAATTGAAAAGACTCATTTTGAGGTGAAATGAGTGGCATTACGGGAAATCACCTTGCTATATACTCAAAGACAAAATCCGTGAGTATCTAGACCCAAAGAGAACAATATCTTTTGGGAAAAAGGGTTGAGATGTTAGAATTCTCATCTCAACTAAAATGATGTTTTTCTTCTTCTTTTCTGTTGGGAAAAAGTACAATGGAACATTAGATATTTACTTTTAATCACCATTTCAATAATTCGAGCTGTAACAATCAACTAAAAATTTTACCTTGTATAGAGCGTTTGACCAAAATATTTCAGATTCTAATAACTCTCAATCATAGTCAGTAACAAACTGTATGGGTAAGTAATGTACGTATGGTGTTTTTTACGTTATTTTGAGCTAATAATACGTTCACAATTTTCTTAAGAGAGTTCAAAGTTGGACACCATTTATAATATATTAGGAATTCATAATTATTAACAAAATGTAAATAAAATTATCAACAATGTGTTTATGAGATATACATGCAGTCATGTAGACACCATCAAACAAATATGAAATCATTAGACTGCTCTACATACAATAGTACATGTACGAGAGTTTTATATGCATTTAATACATAATACGGATATTATATACGAGTATTATACGAATCTTTATTAAACTCCTGATATATATATTAATTAAGATGAACGTTAAGATTTCACTTGCTTGGAAGTCTCGCTTTTTTTTTAATGAAAATTTTAGTATACAAGAGAGTGGAACTAAAGATACTGGAACGGAAGTGAATTTGTTTATAGTTTTGCTGAATCGGAATATACTGATCGATATAACGATATTATGCAATTGGTATCCCGTTGATCCAGAAGATGCTCATATATATATATTCTTGCAAACAGAATACCTGTCGAGACACTACTCCAATTTTCCATCTCGATTAAAAACAATATATATTGTTTCCGATCGGATGTGTTAATTTAACTTTTTATTCGAGATTGAAATTCCTAGCAAATCCCATGAGTTACAAGGTCGGTGGGATCTTATTCCTGTATGATCTGCTAGCTGTAAACTAGATCATAAAATTTCTAAGTACTCTTTTACTGGGCAATACGACTGTAGCAGAAATAATAATGGAAGTTCAATGCTCTTCTTCTACTGGTATGAATTCTCAAGAACAATATGCATTAGACTGTTTTTTATAATGACGATATTGGTTAATTTTTGTTATTATATATTATTTAAAATATTCGAATATAAAATCTTCTTGTTGGGGATTAAAGGTATAACCGCTAAACCAAACCCTTATTCGCATGTTTATTTGAATTCATTAGTTTGAAGCATTGATTGGTTTGTTATTTGTTATGATGAATTCTACAAAATTTTGATTTTCAGTAGGCAATATGTGGTATCGAATTTGACCATAGGTGCTCTTAATGATATTTCACAATTTATAAAAAAAACAGTGATATTGAATAGTAGTCAAATTTCTTTTATTGATACGAGTTCACAAGTTCAATATTTTTGTATGCATGCATTGTTGTTGATTATTATTGTAAGTATATTTTTAACCATTGGTATGCACTAATGGGAATTCTGATATATGATTTTTCACTAACATAGATGTGAAAGCTTTTCATATAAATTATGCGAATTTTTGTTAAAAGGATATACTGAGTACATCAAGGAAATTAACTCTAACTCTAATTCAGTAATTCTAATACTCTAAATATAATAATTACTAAATAATACTCCCTATCAGTAAGCCCTTTTGGCTTCTTCCCACCGTAGGTACTTGTCACTTGGCAGACAACATCGGAGCCCATAACTCTTCCAAGTTGGTCACAACTTCAAACTCACAAAATATTTTTAAAAGCAGCCAGGAGACACAACACAAGCAACAACAACAAACCGATAACATTTTGGAAGGGGAAAAAATTGCATTATATATACTTATATAGTCTAGATGATCACCTACAATGAAATAATTGATGGCCATACTTATGTAGACAAAACCAAAACAAAGCCTAGAGGGACCAAAAATGCAACAACAAGAGAGAAAAAAAAAGGGTCTTGCCTCTACCAAAAAAACGATTCTTAATTATATATATGTTTATTAATTCAACATATATAGATGCCACTACTGAATGTGACAAGACCATCGAGCCACCATTGGTTACCCATGTCTCCTGTCCCTACAATATGATGCATGCATATATACTCACTCTAGAGGTCGTTAATCTGGATATTTTGAGCATAAGGAACAATGATGATTAGGATAATTAGGTCGCCATCAATGCTTAATTAATGTATGTGGTCTTTTGGTTATGTGGGATTCCAACAAAGAGTCTTGGATTTATTCAAGAAAGATCCCAAGATTAAAGGGATTGGAGTATTGGACAAAGCTGATCAGAGAAGTCATTTTAATCATCAAATTCATAATCAGCATCAAACAAACTGTGTATATGGTTCACAAATCAGCCTCTCTCACCATCACCCAATTGAATGAAAGGCTGACTCATTGGTGCATGCCATGCTGGATAATGATAAACTAAACCTAATCAATTGTCCTATGCATAGGCCTCCAATAAGTTCCATGACTGAGGATAAGATACGTTCGCACCTAATTATAACAACTTTAGAAGATGTAAAATATAATAAAAGAGAATGTTGATATAACTTGAATCGGTTTGGGAGTTTATATGGTTTACAGGGTTTTATTGTCAATTTTTTTTGTTTTGTTACGAACCCGGTTTTGACTTTTTTTCCATTTCGGGTGGGAGAAGGTGTTTAGATACATCTTATAGCCACTTTGTGAACTATAACCCCTCAAAGTAGTGAAATCGGTATCTCCTATTTGGGGACTAGCTAACACATTGTGTGTTAAGGGACCATATAAATATGTGTGTTCGTTTACTTACTTTCTTAGTTTGTTGATTTGGTTAGTAAATGATAAGATTCATACAATCCGAGTTATTGGATAAATTGATTCTTGATATAAGATAAGAAATGGTTTATCCTCGCGACCCCCAATATTAACACTTATCTTGATTAAAGCACATGGTATGTTGAGACGGTGCAATCTTCAAGCCCATAAGTTGGCTTTGTTTGAGGGGGGCATCTAAGGAAGTGGTTGAGATCCACATACATCAATCAAAACTCTCTCAACAACTCGACTTATTGGAACCAATTGGTCTACGATATGACATCAGAGTTAGTTTGATCGGTAGATCGATTGTTCAAGTCTTCATGACCTCCAGTATAACAGTTGATTTAAAAGCACATGGTATGCTACCCATGCAAACTTCATTCCCATGGATGACTTTCATTTTGAAGGGGCATGTGAGGAAGATGTAAAGATCCATACCATGTAGTGTTCATTCAAAGTACATGGTATCGGAGCCTTCAAAGACTGAGAGATCTTATGTTTCAAATCTTGACGATCCCATTTGTTAAACACATGGTATTCGAACATGTGCAAAATTCAAGCTCATATGAGGGGGTGCGTTAGTAAATGGTACAAAATTCATTACTGAAAATCTCTCAGTAACTCAATTTATTGAGATCAAATGATTTTGACAGATTTGTATGTTTCGATATAAAAGACAATATCAAAGTCCTCCAAAGCATGAATATGCATGATCGGGTGGTTCGGGTTTAATCATCTTGATTACCTGATCTAAACACTCATTCAAAAAAATATTACAACCCTAACAATGCATTGAGTTAACGAGAGACCACAACACAAAATATGATAAAAACATTCTCATTTCCTCACAATACATTTGAGATATAAACATTTAATTAGGACAATAATTGTAACATGAGTTGAGTCGGGTATCTCAGGGGCTGTAATACCCAAAATCTGCCCATAACTTAAAAGAGTAGGGTTCCAAAAATAAACTTCTCACCCAATTTTAAACTTCAGTTTTAACGATAAACACGAGTGAGTTAATTCGACTGGATCGAATTAGGGTGATTTTTGTTCACCCCTACCTACAACTACAAGTGGGAGCTAGAACCGGAGAAGAGGAGGAGGGAGGGGTCCACAGCAAGCGAAGGATGAGGCAGTTTGTCTGGTGGGTCAAGGGACATTTGCACGCCCTTTCATACCCCATCCTTGCCCTCTTTCCTCGACCAACGTGCTACCCCAAAGGACCACCTCTCACTCTCTCTCCTTTCCTTCTCTTCATATCACTTCTCTCATATTCCCTCTCTATATAAACATCCAACCCTTCCCTTCTTCCCCTCTCATCATCATCCCATAATTCACAACATTTCATCTCTTCCAGCTTCCTTGCCATTCATTATCTACTTCCCACACATTCTCTAGCTACATATATGAAGATGTCTGGCAGTGGAAGTTTGATTGGCGGCTCAAAGAGAAGAACTTCATCATCATCGTCAAGCAAGCGGCTTGGATCCGCCCTGAGAGAGCAAAGGGCCAGGCTTTATATCATCCGGAGATGTGTCGTCATGCTCCTCTGCTGGCATGATTGATTCATTCATAGCTCTACTTTTTTCCCACCACATATTAGCTTAGGATGAAAAAATGGGGTTTGTTGGGTCTTTTCCCCCCTTCCTTTTCTAGTTGGTACTGTATATATATAGTCCCATGTTAGATTAATTAGACGATGTTAGCACTGGAAGAAGAAGGAGAAGATGAAGTAGAGAAGAGGAAGCTTTAGCTGAGCTATGAAGAAAGATGATGAGCAAGTTTTTGTTGTTGTTGTCATGGGATGGGAATTTGGGATGATTGCCATTGTGGCCAAGCCCTTTACAGGCTGCTTATTTTGTTCTCTAGGTGGAAACACACAAGAAATACCCATGGTGATGTACACAGTGAAAATTATCGGATATAGTATGAAACCAAAAAAAAAAAAAAAAAAAAAAAGACTCTTCAATTTTCACAATTTTGTCTGCAGTTTTAATTTCTTGGTTAACTAGCACAATAGTAATATAGCTAGCTAGCAAAGCAATTGTAGTTGAGGAAGAAGCTTCTGAATCGGTCTGCATATTGTTTCTGGTCTCCAATGAAACCCTCCAGTTGCAGAGCTGATCATTGATGACTCTACTACAATATGGGCTAGCAGTCAAGCAAAGGAACTGCCCACTTTTGTCCATTTATGAGCCTAGGAATTTAACAAAAAATAAAGTGTCTTTGGCTTGCTTTTTCCTGGTTTTAGGGAGGATGGGTTTCCATACACACTATTTCATATAAAAGTAAACTCATCAGTTTGAAGTTTGTGCATGCTCGTTTTAAGACAATAGTTAATATAACTTAATGACAAATCAATTCTAAAACTATATTATAAACCAACCGATAAAAGAATTTGAGTTGTATTGAGAGCTACATTTATCACTTCCTAGTTTCTAAACTTTTTACATGTCTTTGTGCTTAGCAAGGGATGGAATCGGTGAAGAGTTGAAAGTTTGGGTTTCAGGGCATAGTGGACTCGCAGCACCCACCACTGCTCATGTCCTGCGGCCAATTATTAATCATTTGAAGTGTGGTCCTACAAAGATAATGATGATGGTAATGACTAATAGCTAGGAAAGATTACATTATTCACATTAATTACCACATGCATTATACTCTAATTTAACACCTATAGGTCTCTTCTCCACGACTTTTAATTAACTACCTGTCACGTACATACAACTAGCAAATAGCCACTGGCCATTAGTTCATACAGTTGTGTGTTACTGGCTAGGGGAAATAGAAGATTACAATTTCTGTCCATTTTTTCCCGGTCGGAGGTGACACGTTGATGTGTTAGAGTTGATGGAAACATAGGTATTAGGTAGTTGGATAAGGATCACCGGAGCTGATTCTCTTGTCTATACACCAAACTGCACCACCCTAATAAATAATGTTGATGTCATTTGAATCGGACTATCAGCTGCTACGACTGGAATAATCGGGAGTCTCACTGTCCGGTCAGCAAGTGGAGTCCAGGGTTTGCCCCCGGCCCGCAGTGTATGGGCTCAATGTTATTTGGGTTTGGGTTCTGGGCCTGGTCTGTAACCGTTTCCTTTGCCATATTGGATTAGGTTTAGACCCACATGAAAAAGTACTGTAAATACTTCTCATACTTCTATGTAATCTGTAATCTCCCCGATATAGTGAAACTGGCTATCTCTCGCCCGTGGACTAGCTAACACACATCATGTTAATGAACCACGTAAATCGTGTGTCGTGTTTTCGATTCTCGCTTTCATATTCTTGCTTTGTCGATTTCAACAATTTCCCGATTCGTAGCAGCGTGTTTATAACAAATCATCTAATGACTTATTTTGTCATTATTCAATGGCTTCCATGTTGCGATTTGTGTTGTGAGGAGGAGTTAAGACGAAAGGAAAGAGGGGCCGGGCAGGGAGAGAGAATTGGCCACCGGCCGGCAGGGAGGGAAAGCGAATGAAGGAAGGGTTGTTGCCAATTATGGTCAAAACTCTGTTTGTGGGCCCAATAGATGGGTGTGATTATTGGGCTCACTGGCCGGCCCACACTCACGTGTGCAATGTCTACTCTTACTTACTACATAGTGGTCAGCCTGCCATTATGGAAAGTGAGGATAAGTTGTACGTACTCAACTCAAGGGAGGAAGGAAGGCCCCATCCCATCCATCCTCCTAATCAATGCAAGCAGGAAGCAAAGCAATGTTGTTTGGATCTGGATGGGTCTGGCGACGACTCATAAGTTCAACAGCTTGGATTAATAAGTACATGCCAGGAAATTTCCGGCTTGGAGTTTGATTGAAATCGGCTGGGCTGTACCGGTTTTAACAAGTACAGTAGAGTAGAGCGCTGGACGAGAGAAACAGAGTTGTATGAAACTATGAATATCAAAACTCTAGATAAGCTTATACGCACTACCGCAGGATATGAGTAAGTTTATAACACCGTATATGCTTATAGTGGAGATAGAACACAACACCTACAGGTGGTATGACGGTGTTTTGCCCAATACTATACCGCAACTCATTATTTGTTCATAAACTAACATAAAATTAGTTTTTATAATATGAAAGAAATCATAACCGGAATAAAGACCTAATTGGATCATTTTTCTCTTTATGTCTTTTTTTTTTTTTGCCTAGTGTCCTTGAATTACTCCAATGTGGATTCCACTAGTTTTGATTCTATCAGTTGCAACTACACGTGTAGAAAGAACATTTTTAGTTTTGAATTGTATTAAGAACAAATTTGGAAGTCAAGTTGACGACCAATTTGCTAATAATTATTTAGTGGGATATATTTAAAGAGACTTACTTAGGAGTGTAGGTATCTAATGTATTTTTTGTTTCTTTCAGAATATGAAAATCCGTTGTGGTTCACTGGTTGTTTATGAAAATAATAATTTTATTAATTTTATTTTTTTTATCTATCAATGTATTATTTTGATATTATTAGTTATAATTATATTTATCACATAATTATTAATTAAAAAATTAAATATTTATAATTTGAAAAGATGTTACAAATAGTTTCACATCCTGACTCCTGTCACTGCATCCATCATTTTTACCTTTGACATTATTGATAATTTCAATGTAAGTCTTGCATTTTATATACTACTTTAAAGATTTATATCACATAGAGACATCTTAAAATGTTGTTTTCGCGAGTGAGAAACTATTATTCCATGGTATTTGTGCCAAATGAGATACCAAATTCAAACATATCTCCCAATTTAGCTTAGCTCCTTCCAACTCTTTCCTCTTTTCAAATGTTCACTTCCTCGGACTTCCTCCTCGTAAACCACTTGGGAAACTGAACAACGCGAGTGATTGATTTCTATTTTCTACGAGGAAAGTGGTTGATCTACAAATGCACGAGCTGAAGCATGACAGGAAGAATCAATACCGGTCGGGGTTGAATAAAATTGTAAAAAGACCGGAAGGAAATCACTGTTGTCGGCCAAAAGAGAGTGGTGGGAAGGAAAGGAAGTCAAGTCTCTCAAGTCTGAACTCTGTCAATTAACTCAGTAGCTGCAGTGCGATGCAGAGCAGAGCAGAGCAGAGGCTCCTTGTAGTAAAGGCAAAAGGCAAAAACCCAGTACCAAGAGAAGAAAGTTGATTGGTCAAACCGTGAATATCTACCCAGCAGAGCACCCAACTCCCACGTGCGTTCCCTATCTCCAACTTCAATGTTCAATCCCCTCTGTTTGTTTTCCATGATTGGTACAAACAAGAAAAGGAAACGATGAGAGAAAACGCACTCACCTTTTTTTCTCCCCATTCCTTCTTTTGTTCATTGCTTCCTGTTCGCAAGTGTACTACTCCAAGTCTCCAACCCGATCGAGGGGCCACTTACCTAAATGTGACTGCCGACTGAAAGAAGATGACTTGTCGAAGAAATAGGCTACCCAAAACAACTTGATAAACTGAGCTGCTTCCACGATGATGGACATCATAATCTTGCCTCAGAAAGATCGAAGAGAGTGATACTTTCTAACTAATTAGGAATTTCTAACTAATTAGGAATTCGACCGAATGCAATGAACTATGACATAACATAATATTTATAGTCGAGACTCAAGAGTTTCCGTCCTCTAGTGAGAATCGATTTATAATTTTGGATTATCATCGAAGCTATCTAGCGATCACGAACATTTAATTTAGGTTAGAAGAGAAGCTATCTATTTATGGTTAATGTTCCCAAAAAGAAATGAAACTACACTAAAGTCTATTCCGCAACCGTGGATATCCATTCGAATCCGACCTAATCGGGTAGGGTAAAACGCAAACTCGAAGGTTTTTTAGTGGGTACGGTATTAAGTGTATTGGGTGGCCATGGTTTTCTCACTATCCAACCCGAACTCGCCCGATTATGCACGATCATACATATTTTTTTCGAGAAATTATCATTATTTTTCCAACAATATTTTATATTTACCATACAAATACAATATTTTTCAAAAAATTTTGTTGTTTGAAATTAATTTTCTTCATTCTAATGAATTGTTGTCGTATTTTTCCACTTATGTAACGTGAACATAAGTGTTAATGTTAATATGTTGGTTGGAGTTATAAACAGAAATTATTACTCGTGGATAACCGTGGATACCCGAAATCCGAGCGGGTATAAGCATGATTTTAATTTTCTACCCAATTCTTACGTGAGTATGGATATAGTTAAAACCCAAACTAACTTGAATAGGGTAACAGATATGCACTATCCGCTCCAGCCATTACCACCATTCCTAATCAAGTCTACAAGCATAACATATTAGTAACCTACAAGTATGATGTTAGTCGGGGATAATACTTCAGAGTAGTTTCGTTTATAAAGACAATTTATAATGGTATATTCAATTTTTTTTATGAACCATATAATTATCGCTTCAACATAGAAACATCAGGTCATCATTTATTCGATTGTATTACTTATTTTACATGTAGTTCATAGTTGAAAAGTGATACACTGATAACTAGCTCAAAAACTATCACTTCCACGGTAAACTAAACTTGACTATAAAAATGCAATTGATTTCCAATAAGTTTTACCTCAATACAACAAATGCATTGCAATAAATGTTATTACAGTTATATGAAAAACTGACTTTTGTATATCTAGTATAACGAGAAATTTCTTAGATTAAATAAAAAAAATTGAGGATTAAGAGTTGTGTTTCAAAACTATAGGTCCTAATTCTTATGTTGTCCATATTACATGCATGCCTACATGCATATAGATAGAGGTGGCAAATTGATTAATCTATGAATTGGTGGATCCATGGATCAAATGGATTGGATCCAATGGGTTGGTGGATTCATGGATTGAATTAAGTGGATTGGTGGATTATCCATGAATCCAAATGACATCCTCAACCTTGGACCAATATGTAATATGTGAAAAGTTTAGGTACTAAAATGTCATAATGAAAAAATTTAGATACCAAAACGTAATTTTCCAATAATATTTTTCGTATAAAAAATTAAATTTTGGGTACCAAAATGTAAAATATAAAAAGTACAATTACCTAACCGTAATTTGCCATTTGAATCCATGGATCAATCCATGAATCCACCAATCCAATTGGATTTGGATCAAATGGATTAAATTTAAATGGATTGAATTAGGTGGATATTTTTAATGGATTGGTGGATTAGATTGAAAATTGCCACCTCTACACATATATAACCCTTTTTATTTTATTTTTCCAAGTAAGGTTGTAGTACCCTGTACCCTCATGCCTCTCCACCTCCCCGACAGTTTCCTTACCTTCTAAGGAAATGGGTTGACCATAGCAAGTGCATCAAATTGAAAACAAAAGAAGTTTTTGTCACAACTGAAGCTCAATATTTTTACATGAGTCTAAGGGTAAGTTATGCATGATTTGAAAATTGATCACTCCATATGTGTGAGTTTGTTACTCATATTCAACATACATTGGAAAGTACATTGGTTAATGCTCATACTTCAATGATCCTCAATTATCGTTCTCTTCTTGTCCATTTAAGATATTGGAAGAAATTAATCACTAGTCCCCCTTTTCTTCTTTCCCTCATTCCCGTGAAGTTTTTATACATTAAAGATGTCGAGGAAGTATGTCCTTCTTGGGGATGATCACACTTAATATGGTGTTATCTAACTTCAATTCGCAAGGCGTTTATGTGCTAAATTACCATGTCAAGATCATATTGCAAGCTAATCTAGGCCAATATGCATTTTTATACATCGATCATGAGGTTTGCCATAAGCTAGTTTGTTATAAAGGTTTGTCATGGGGAAACAACCTCATTTTTTCATGTTTTATGCTTGATTGATGTCTTTGATGATATTCTAGGTCCTCTACATGATTGGGACTCGATTTGGCAAGGTGTTTCTAGGAAAGTCAAACTTCACCTGATTGTGCTTCGTCCCTTAAAGTGGAACCGTCGCCGGAGGCCAAGGGTGCCCTCCCCGGTGCGATCATCTACCTACAATGAAATTCAATTTTGCCTCTTCCCTGATTGTTTTATTAGTTGGAATATGGAATTATTAGTTTAATTTAATTATGTTTAATATAATACTGATTGTTATAAGCGCTCGTGGCCTAATGGATTAAGGCATCTGACTTCTAATCAGGGGATTGTGGGTTCGAATCCCACCGGGCGTATTTAGTTATTTTTATTACTTTACATATATACTACCGTTTGTAGATAATAACACTCAACATGGTGTTACTAACCTCTAATTTCTGCTAAATCACGATGTTAATATCATATTGCAAGCTCATCTAGGCCAATATGGGTTTTTACTTTTTATACATCGATCACGAGGTTTGCCATAAGTTAGTTTGTTATAAAGGTTCGTCATGGGGAAACTACCTCATTTTGTCATGTGTTATGCTTGATTGATATCTTTGATGATATTCCATGTCCTCTACTTGATCGGGAATCGATTTGGGTTCATCCCAGCACATTCACAATGCATAGGAGCAAAAAAGGAAGGTTTTACATAAGTCACAACCTCGATCACAGCCGTGACCCTTACAGTGTATTTAGCCTCTGATGCAGAAATGGACAGGGAGTTTCTCGGTCCGATTCGCGGCCAAGAAGGATTTTGACTGACGTTGTCGGGAAATTCTTTGATTATTAGGAAAAGCCGAGAACTACTAATATAATCTAGTCGTTTTATCATTTTGTTCATTTTGTGTGATATGTAGGGATCATTTTCTTGATTGCGAAAAGTATTCTTCTTATGGTGGGTATTTGTCATGACTTTGCATCCACTGCCAGTTCTTGTTCACAAAACCCCGACGTCATCAATTCATATCTCTTCTCTTGTCGTTTATGGTAACGAACTAACGATCTTGGGCTGCCTAGTTCAACCACAATCTTGTCTTCCACTGGCTACCATCCCACTGCTTCATGGGTGAGCGACTAGAGAAGGCGCGGCTCATCACACACCTTCCTATATATCCTACGCCATTTTGTGGTACTTTCTCATTTTCGATTTGTGTCGTCTGAGGATCCTCCGTCTCAAGTTACGTGTTATAAAATATTACCCAATGGATGAATTTCCCCTTGGTCCCCTGTATGTCGACGGTGATGGGGAGGGCCGGGCATGCATAGTATGGACAAAACATCCCATGCCACTCCTCGCCGAAATGAAACGTCGCATTTCCTCGCCGGCCAGCTACCTAGCTACCTCATGATTATTGTATAAGAGTAAGACACACACACGTGAATAGCTAGCAGGGCCCCTTCGTCTTCAGCACTCAGCAGTCAGCAGAACCATCGAAATGCCTCTCTCCAAGAATTCCTACCCACTTTCACACTTAGCTACTACTACTTTAAATTCTCCAGGCCACCGCTGTAAGGAAGTTGTTAAGTTTATACATTAACTTCTTGTAACAACTGGAGTTATTGGGACCATTTGGTTTATCATAGGGGTGGGCACGTAGGTGGTTAATCCGCGAATTTATATCGATCCACCCGCAAATAACCCGACCCGCACGGAGTGGGTGATTGATGTGGGTGGATTGCGGATTGGTAAATCTCTCACCCGCACTTATGTGGGTGGGTGGTGGGTGGATTGCGGGTCACCCATATGAACCACATCCTATTTTTATATGAAAAATGTTGTTTCTTATAGTGTCGAATATTCATCATATTTTCGAACTGCACTACAGTCTGACCATATACTTCAAAAAGTGGAGAATAAATAATAGTTTTGACTACTATTATTGGTCATTGTGTTGTGCAATATCCATTACATATTGGATATTGGTATGCAGATTATTGTTAATAACCATTAAATATTGGGATGCAACTTGCAAGCTATAAATTATTAATTGTATCAAAATCACAAATTACTAATACAGACTTACTAATTTGCTATGAACTTATTATAAATGTTAGTCAACTTTCTTAATGGTTAGTTGGAGAATTGCTTTTGTGGGTTGACCAGCAACCCAACCGCACCCATCAGCTACCCACCCAACCCAACCCGCAGAAGTATGTGGGTGGATTGCGGGTCACAATTATTCCAACCCATTAGTAAGCGGGTGGGTCAATTTGAGACCAAAATCCACCCAAACCCGCCCATTGCCCACCCCTAGTTTATGACATGATATCAGAATTGGTTTGTCTTTGAGCTCGCGTGTTCACGTCCTCGCGACCCCTAGTATTAATCGTTTTCTTAAAGCACATGTTATGGCGAGCTGACCCGCGTGGAAACTTCAAGCCCATAAGTTGGCTTTTGTTTGAGGGGAGCGTGTAAGGAAGTTATTAAATTCATACATGGACCTCTCTCAACTGCTCAAGTTATTGAGACTAGTTGATTTATGACATAATGAGCAGCAACATGTCAATTCTTGTTATGAATTTTATATGTAATTTTACTTATTGCGTAGATGATCCACAAACTCTTCGATATGATTTAGAGTAATTTTACTTTGACTAAGAAACCATTTATCTTAGGGGTCGTTTGCTTCAAGGATTTGGTACATGGATTTGGTACCAAAAAACCAACTATCAAGGATTTAGGTACAATCCGTTGTTTGCTTGCACTTTTATTGGAGACCAAATCCGTGGGGCCCACGGATTTTAAGGGTCCAAATCCGTGGACCCCACGGACTTATAAATCCCACATGTTGATGTGGGATTTGGAATATGGCATAAATCCTTCATGAGATTTTACCCATATACCCTCATGCACTTTTAATATTCCAAGGTTGCCCTCAAATTTAACTATTATACATTATAATTAACAATAAATGAATAATATAAACGTTCAATTAATGTGCAAACATGAGTTAGATTTTTTATATCATTTCTTGTGTTCTAGTTTTCTTTGACCTTTTCATGGAACGTGTAATTCTTTGTTCTCCCGATTCTAATATATGTTGTTATATGTCACTTTTGAAAAGGAGGACAAAGAATTGGTAATTGATTATGTTACGTTAAAAGTTAAAACGGAATTTTCTCGTTTATTATTATTGTCCATGTGGCAACATTATGCTTATTAGTATGTATTGTCCTTGTTTTGTGTACATATCATAAACATGTCAAACATATAGAAAATGATAGTAAAGTAATTTTGAAGTTTTGTCCTTGTTTTGTGTACATATCATAAACATGTCAAACATATAGAAAAAGGCAGTAATGTAATTTTTGACTTCAAGTAGTAAATCCCACACCTTTAAATCCATGATAAAAACACCCCAACAAACAAAGGATTGTTACAAATCCATGATGCCTCAAATCCTTGATAAATCCTTGGGTTTTTAAATTACAAAACCCTCGTTTTTAAATCCATGAAGCAAACGACCCCTTAATCCTTGTGACCCCCAATATCTACTATTCAACTTGTTCCAACTTCCAAATACTTCCTATAAAAAAAAAGCTTGTTCCAGTCTTCCAGATACACTTATGTTTAGTGAGAGGAAGAAAAATGAAAGGAGGAAGAGAGAAGGTTGAACATGTGTGGGCAGTAATAGCGCAAGGACATATCTTATCCCCTTTACCTTCATTTCCATTATTACTTGTCCCAAATCCGTGTCTTGTTTACGTACCCAAAAGCGAAACCAAAGGGAAACCTCAAATAGCCCCAGATGCAGGGAACTTGACAAGGACCAGCTAGCCACCAGCCATTGAGCAAAGAGGGAAAGGGGAGGTAGATCCAAAACCCACAGCCAGGTTGTTCATGGAAGGCCCTATCTGTCACTGTTCTTTAGCTAGCTGCACTCTGTACTCCATGCCAGGGGAACCAAAATAAGAGACCAAGCTAAGGAAACAGGTAAGAGGACCCTCTTGCTTTCAATACCTCTCTGTCTTTCTCGTGAAACTAACACCGATAGATATTTTGCAGAGAGCGGGGGACCGGGCCAGAGGTTACCAATTTTCATGCCTCTTCTGCTATGTACTAGGGAAATTTCGTAACAACATGGCGCCAAACTGCCAGCCAAAGGGATAGAGCTAGCTAGGGGGCCAGCCGGGGTCCGATTCACAGTACATGGTGGGCATGACTGGGGCTAACAAGCTTTGGGATCGGTCAAGAGATGACTAACTGATAATTGGGGAGGGAGTTGCTTCTCCTATGGTCTCTGTTGCCATGTACATCATCCAAATACATGTCATTCCAGGTCACCTTCTACAGTCTGTAAAGAAAATGCACTCAACCATGTCAGTATGTCACTAATGTAATGGCTGGAAACAGAGAGCAACATTGCTTGGCCTAGGGTTCATTCTGAACCCAACATTGTTCCTCCTTTCAGAACAAAGAGCAGCGTTTTTTTTAACAAACATCAGACATTAGTTACAAAACGAGCAGTAGTTGCCTTTCTGCATTAAGCTGCCAAGGTGGGTTTACAAAATATAGGAGTCCCTCATTAGCCCTCCCACCAAACACCATCTCCATTGTTACTAATCGTAGTTTTACATACAAACAAGGATATGGCCGATCGAAACAAAAGGGTAGGTGCTTCCTCTCTTTCGATCCACACCAAAAACAAGTTGAAGACTTGTAGCTAGCCAATCATTTTATCTCTCCTCCGCCCCATGCCAGAAAGCTTTCCTGGGATCCAAATTCCTACACAAACCATATCAACAACAACAAAAATTATTTGCAGAAAAGTGAGAAAGCCGAAAAGAGAGCTGTGGAGAATGGCAGGCAATACATACAAGCTGGCTGAGTCTGAACTCGGGAGGTGTATCGAGTTCTATATTTGCAGGGTCAACAGCCAGAGTTTGGCATTCCTCTAAATCCTTCTTCAAATCCTCTGCACCTTCATACTGGAACGAAAAGGATGGTTTTCTATTCGGTAATGGATCTCCATTCCCATCTCTACTTGGAGACTGGCTCTGAAGGAACTCTTCACATAAGGATAAACCTTCTACCATTTGTTGTGAATCCAACACGTTTTGTGACTCGCCATCCCACCATTTCGCTTCTTCCTCAACACAATCTCTGTTATTTAAGCCTTGATTTTCAGTCACTTGCACCAGATCATTGCAACTAGGGTTTTCAGACACGGGCTCAACCTCATCTTCTAGATGTTCAAGCTCCATATACTTCAATGCAATAAAAAGGAAAAACATGTCAACCAGTAATTATGCGAAATCACCTCATCTACACGTATATCAACAACTGATTTTTAAGTAAAAGCTAAACAACCCATAGTAGAGCTAACCAACCTGAAGATAAGGATCAGCAACTGTGTCAGCAATTGCAGAGTCTTTCACAAGGTCCGTATCACTAAAATGCCTTTCGGGGAGAGGAGGATCAAGTGTAACAGACATGGGAGTGACTGGATCAACTTTCGTAATCAAGGAATGATCAATAATAGTTTCTGATAGCTCTTCTTCAGTTTTATCGGCCTTGTTAGCTTGTTGCTGATAAAATATCTTTGAAATCACATATTCCCCATCTTTCTCGTCCTCGCCCGTTCCAAGGTGGTACTGATGCATCACCCAGTTTGTTTTTTCAGCTTTACCTCCCCTTACCAGACTAGTGTAGAGAACCATTATTTTTTTACAACCTTTCTGCATGCCTTCCAAGACCACCGGCTTAGTCCTGCCAGTTTTGTGCCAGCGAACATCAGCAACATCATCACCTTGAATCTTTCTGCGCTTTCGAGTCCCTGTATTGTAAGCTTTGATTGCCCTGTGAAAGAAGTGAGATGTACTTCCATCTTGTTTCACGCCTGACCAGATTAGATATCATTAGGCTCCAGGAAATTACAGACTGGTCAATGAAATTACATGAAAGTTGGAGTATTCACAACAAACCTGGTAGGTTCTTGGGATGAGTATAACAGATCCCATCATCATTGTCAAGAGTTTGTATGAACTCCTCAATGAATGGATGGGGTTTATGAGAAGCAGAACCAGATTTCGCAAGTAAATGCCAGATGATTTCCTGGTCAGTTGGATCAAATTTGACCCCTCTGGGTAATCCAGGCCATGCTTGGACAACCTGCAAAGCATAAGTGATTGTTCGTATTCATGATATTTACAGTTGTCAATTGCCAAACCTTGAATCTAGATAGATAACAAAACTATCTGGTTAAATTTATCAACAGAACCTTGCAGCTTCCAGTAGAAACATATAAGATGTTGATAACAGCCTAGAATTACATACATGAAAAGAAGCATAAATTGCAAATATACCAGAATAGAATTGGACTTATAGCTCTGATTTCATTTTCATATGGCAAAGGTGCCAGAATAGAATTGGACTTACGATCAGAATACCACAGAAGAAGAAAAGAGTGGTCTTGCTAAATAAGAGAAATCAATGTCCATAACTGACGCCTATCTTTAAGTATGACCCTTGCAAGTACAAACACCTCTGTCTCTAGTCTCTACAATGTTGAATGTAGCATAAGAGCATATGAACAAAGTCAAAAGACACGTACATCACTGTTGTCGATTATGTGATGGCAATTTGGACAAGATTTGGTTGGGTTGCTCTCCCATTTGACTTTTTCGGGATCAGATGCACTCTTAATTTTTCTGGCTATTCTGCTACCGTCAACCAGCCATGATGGACTGCATAGATTGCGAAACGAATCAGTAGCAACAAGACAAGGTAGCTATAAGGAACAGATCAAAGTATGACAATAACCCAGAAAGTGATAAAGCCAAAATAAACTGAAAATCAATACAGCAAACAGTGTCTCCAATTGTTAAGAAGAGATGAATAACCACAGAAGCACATAAAAGATAAACTCCAAAGTCCGTGACCGAGCCTAATCAAGAAGGTAAGGTTGGGAAGAGGAACTGTTGCGGTACATGGCATCACGCTACACTACGGCCATAGATGGCTAGTACTTGGGATAAGCAGAACGTAACAATCCAAGTAAAAGTTGCAAGCTTCAAATGCACTGAAAGACAATGAATTCAGTGTCCTATTTCAGGTGATTTGCACAAACGAAAACTAAGCGAGCACCGCATAGTCAGCAATCCAAACATTAAGAACCAGCTAGATATCCACCCATAATTCTGAGCAACAGAAGGGTGAGATCACAGGAAAGTTTTGAACTTTCAACCATAAAATTAAACGAATGCTTCCGGGTAAGAACAAAATGATAAGCAGCAAAAGGCTTAAATACATTCAAGAGGATGGGCACAATTTGTACTCTAAGCAACGCCCTTACTGGTAGATGAAATCACATTTTCCCCTGATTTCTAAATTAGGGTTCAGGTGATGGGCTCATGGGCATAACGGAGAGTTAAAATGACGCAGAACAGAAGCTCTAGACAATACGATGACAACCGACAAAGACTTGGCTTTGACCACACCTACGTAGCCGAGATTAAAGTTCTCCTCCCGAGCAGGAATAGCTATAATAATACATTCATAAGCAACTTATCGCAGTGGATGACAGAACCCACATGATCTTTCTACACAGTCATTCAGAAAATCAATCAATACCAGCTAAACATCTAAAAGGTCTGTTTCGATAGCAGCCAAGAGCACTGAAGAAACAAAAAAGCGGGAGTAGTTGATTACCGAGACATGGCAGTAGGGAAGTTTGATCCAAAACTGATAGATTTAGAAAACCATTCACAAGTAATCTCTGCTTCGGCTGTTGAGCTTGCTGCTGTATCCCAGTATTTTTCTACTGGGTTCTTTGGGGATACTCAACGACCGCAGAGAAACTGCAGATTTGCTTTCGAGTAGAGAAGTGGAAGGCTTTCTATTCGGCAGCCCTTTAATTCCGATTTCTTGATGGGTTATCGAGATTCGAAAAGATTTTCCCCGTTCTCTCGGTCTACTTACTGTTAATTGATTTGCACGATATTTATCGCAGAAAGTAGTAATGGGAAACTTACTGCCGGACTGGACTGCTGATGGGAGTGTGCCGGAAGTTGAGAAGGAAATTCCCTTTCCTTTCCCTTTTTTATTTCCGAGATAAATGTTTTTTTTTTTTAATAATGAGATTGTAACACTTTAGGTGAGTCCTACATCGACAAAATACGAGAGAGATTAATGGTTCATAAGTAAGAAATCTATCTTAACTGACAACACGTGTTTTGAGGTGAAATGAAGAAGTTCTTGTGAGAACTCTGAAGTTAAACGTGCTTAGTGTGGATTGTGTTGTACAACAAGGATAGGTGACCTTATGGAAAGTTCTTGAATTGCATTCCAAGTAAAAAACCGCGAGGGTCGATGCTCAAAGCGAACAATATCTTGCTCGGAAAAAGGTTCGGGATGTTACAAGTGGCATTAGAGTCTCTTCGCGTCCCTCTTGTACGATGGTAGGGCAAACCTCAACGAGGGCCTTAAGTCCCGCCGGGGGGGGGGGGGGGTATGTAACACCTTAGGCGAATCTTACATCAACAAAGCACACAAGAGATCCATGGTTCATAAGTAAGAAACCGGTCTTAACTGACAAGATGCATTTTGGAGTGAAATGGAGAAGTTCTTGTAAGAACTCCAAAGTTAACGTGCTTAGTGTGGAGTACAACAAGGATGGGTAACCTTAGAAGTCACCTTGAATTGCACCTCAAGTCAAAAATTGTGAGGATCGAGGCCCAAAACAAAAAATATCTTGCTTGGGAAAAGGATCGGGATGTCAGAGATCACTTGTTTTGTACTTGAAATTGATTTGTTACGTTTACCAAAAAAAGAAATTGAAATGTTAGAGCATCTCCATTGGAATTGCAATTAGAATTGCATTATGACATGACATTCATTAATTTTATCTACAACAATGCAATTGCATTGATGCAGATGATAATTGCATCTTTGCAAGCTTGCATATAATGCAATTATGGAATGCAAGCCACATCATCTTTTTTATTATTAAATTATTCATTAATTTTATTATTTGAGTGGTTATGTTCTAATAAATTAAATCAAAAAAATTAGTTGCAATTGCAAGTTAATTGCATTGATGTGGTGCAATGCAAGTAAGATGAGTTGGATTGCAAAAAAATGAAGTAACAATAAAAAAAACAAATGCAATTACAAATGTCATTGCACCAATGAAGATGGTCTTACAAACTTACAATGAGTCAATGATAGACTATTATGGAGATGTGGATTGTTGTGACGAGAGATAACCTTCTGTATGAGACTCGGCCACCTTTGTTTTAGTTCCTTTTCCTTTCATTGTCTCTCACGTGTTCGACTAAGGAAATTAGGTTTTTAGTCCTTCGGCTAGTAGATAGTTAATAGTTGATGTCAACATCTTTTGTATCAGAAAAATCAAAGACTCAATAAAATTATGGTATTAGAGCTAACTTCGATCTTAGTTTATGTTTTTGTAATAGACGTAGTTGGAACTGGATCTTTTTGGCGAGTTAGTAGAGGGATGGGATGGAATTAAGAAGAGAAGGGAACGAAGTAGAGGAAGAATAGAGAAGGAATGAGAAGAGAACATAACTAGCAGAGAAAGGAGGAGAACGAGAGAGATACAAGGCAGAGAGGAAGGCTCCAAAACCACGCATCTGGCCTGTGCTCGAAGTTCGTTGTCGCAACCTTAACCTTTTCCTCATCAAGGACTTTATATCTAGCAAACAACTGCTCGCACTCCCTAATCCAACATCTAGGATTCTCACCATTGAATGAAGGAATTCCAAAGAATGCATAGAGAAATTACCTAAAGTTTGACTGTGAATTGCAGGTGCGGCAGAGGAAGGAATCATTGTTGTGGAAACCTTCAGCTCAACATTTTGTCGAGCAGGTGGCGGGAAGATATCTCATGGTGGAACACTTTAGCCTTCGACTAACTCCTCCAGGGTGGAGGCAATGTCGTTTGGGAAGCCATAGGTCGCTCTTGCTCCACCGACGCTGAAAAATGGCGAAACTGGTTCACTGCCCGGGTCAATGTTGATGGGGAAAGGAAGAGTCGTTGTCAAAGCTCTTATTGGTGACGAACAGGAACAACGAGTGCCACCGACACAAGAAGAACGAATCAATTCTTGCAATGTATCCCCATTTTCTCACAATCAATTCACCTTTTCGGTAATTTTTCGGTGATCAACACTTGTCGTGCGTTGTATTTTTCAAGCCACGTTTCATAACTTCCATATGCAGAAGTAATGGTGCTAATTGATGGACAAGGCAGAATCACCGTCATGGCTTCCGGATTACGGCTCTGATACCACTTGTAATGGACGTAGTTGGAGCTGGATCTTTCCGGCGAGTTAGTAGAGGGAAGGGATGGAATTGAGAAGAGAAGAATAAGGAAGAGGGAAGAAGAGTAGGGAAAGAAGTAGAGGAAGAATTGAGAAGAGAACAGAACTAGTAGAGGAAGGAGGAGAATGGGAGAGATACAGAGCAGAGAGGAAGGGATAATTAGGAAAATGTACTCTTATTGGTTGTTCCTTTTTGTTACAGCATGTCGCATTTTATAAGGCCTAGTCAATTACAAAATGATCTCAGATGAATACCCGATTTACAAATAAGTCCCTATCATTACAGTTTTTCTTTGTTTTCTCGGCTTCATGCCTATCTAGGGTTTCATCGTTGAAGTCCGACCATGGATGACAAGACTAGTGAGGAACAAAGCCTAACCTATTTTGGCGGTAGTGGTGCTTTCTCCACCAATGTCATTGATGGCACCTATCCTCTTCATCTTCATCCCTCAGATCATCACAATCTCATGCTCGTGAGCGAAGTCCTTACCGACATGCACTATGGAGAATGGGAAGCATAGATGTCGAACTCGTTGATTGAGAAGAACAAGCTAGGTTTTTTCACTAGCAGTAAGCCACGACCTAGCGATGGTCTTCAGCTTGATGCTTGGGTCTGTTGCAACGCAGTCGTCGTTGGCTGGCTTCGTACAACCATGGGTCAAGAAACTAGGAGTGGAATGAGTACGAGATTCACATCGAAAGAAATTTCGGACTAGCTCAAAGAGCGCTTAAGTACCAAAAATTTGCCATGTCGTTACAAGTTTCGTCATGAGATCACTGCTCTCCGATAAGAGTACTCAACCATTGTTGGGTTCTACGCTAAAATGAAGCGGTTGTGGGATGATTGGCTCACCCTCGATCCACCCGCAAAGTGCACGTGTGGTAAATATGAGTGTGACGTGGAGCGTCGCACAGACGCACACTTGCTTCCCACACTGATTTGCGCATTCTTGATTTTCTTCTAGGGTTGAACAAGAGTTTTTCCTTCTTCCGAACTCAGCTTCTGCCAATGAAGCCTATGCCGAGTCTTGGGAGGCATACCACATGGTCTCTAACGAGGAATAGCAGCGCAACTTGTCCGATTTCAGTCCACGCATCGAAGCTGCAGTTTTTCAAGGCAAAGATGAGGTTGCCTCAAGTCATGGCAAGAGCGACGTGGTTGCTGGCAAGTGGGAGTATGTTCGTACTCCTGTTGGTAGACTCTTTTGTATTAATTACCAAAAATCGGGCCACTTCAAAGAGACTTGTTATGACCTGAATGGATGACCCTCGAAACAATAGGGGAAGGGAGAACTCCCTCGTCGTCAGGATAACAACAACACCAGGGATCAGCGTGCTAATCTGTAAGCATCTGCAGTGGAGAGTAATGTCAGTGTTATCCTCGGACTCACTCCAACTCAAGTGGATCAACTTTGATAATTTCACAGTCCATAGTAGAAACTTGCAGTTGGAATGGCGGTCAATATGACATATAATATATTTTCCGAAACTCAAACTTGGGTTATTGACTCAGGATGTAATGAGTATATCGTTAATAATAACACATTGTTTGATGGTGAGCGGAAAAAAAGTTGTCTAACGGCTTTGTTCTTCGCCGCGTTTAGCACGTTCAGGATTTTCAATGCAATGTATTGCAAGGATCAAGAGTTTCTAAGTGCAACGGTTGACCTTGTAAGCTTCTTATAATTCACTAGTTAAGATTGAAAGTTAAGTATCACCGTAAGCCTCTAGTAAGGAGAAGGATGTTGAGATTAGGTTTGCTTGGGGACAAGCAAAGTTCAAGTGTGGGGTTATTTGATGATACATAGAACTAACTATTCTAGACCCTCGTACTATATTCCAAAGTGCATACATTTCCTATCCTTATCATCATAATACCTTGAATAGTTGAATTTGTGCTATGATTGCTTCAAGTGTGTTTTAGCAAGCCTAGGATTGCTTTTGCTGGTCTAATGCGCTTTTGGTAGCGTTTTGTGCATTTTCAGATCAAGCAGACTAGTAGACCACTTGGCATCCATAGGGGACATTGAGATCCAGTTGCTGGAGCCGAGAAAGGAATAGATTATGAGTTTAAAGAACACGCCTAAAACGGTGCTCCAAGAATGAAAACGACGTCGTTGTCGACGTTTTACAGAGATGCTCAATTTTGTCACAAAGTTACCTGGGAACTTCCTGATTCACTGGCCACATGTTTGGAGGATTCTGATTGGCTGAATGACGCAAGAGCTATGTGTTTTCCTCCTTAGAAACCCTAATTAAAGACCTATAGATAGAGCTCTAGAGGTAGAACTCGAGAGGATGAGGAGACAAGAGTTCAAGGAAGGGTCGTTACTATGTCGACATAGCAACCCTCCTGACTTAGAACGAGACCAACCTCCAAGGGAGAATCGGCGCCAGAAAAAGCGGTCTGGGCTCCATACGACATGAAGACTCAATGGATAAATTCGAAGCATCCTTGTCGCCCATTAGTTCGGGTAAATGCTTAAACACAAGGTGGTATCTAACGAAATAAGAATTCGTCAGCTCGTATGCCACCGATCATTGAGAGACGCATGGTTAGGGGGAGCTTGCCTATGCAACGCCTTTCTTCTATGATCTCTCACTCGTCCAATATCTTAGATTTACTTCTTCGCACCACGTTTCTTCTTAACTCTTACGTTTTGCGAAATTTGTGGCACCTCAACCTCCTAAATCACTCTCTTTTTCAATAGAAATGTACCTTGCTTCACAAGTAACGGATCTGCGAGAGACTCTAGGGAAATACCATTTTGGCCTTAGGGCCAGGTAAATTTGACTTTGTTCTACAGATCAATTGTGGCTTTAACCAAAAGGACAATGTGAACACATTTTCCCCAAATCGTTAGATTAGGGTTTCAATGTCGAATATATCAGGCAGTTAAAATTATTCAAAACCAAATCTCTCCACGACAATGACAACAATGATAACTTGGCTTGACCATACATGCCTATACAGATGAGATCAAAGTTTCCTCCAAAGCAGGCATCACTATAAATCTATAATACATTAGACATCATAGGAAAAGGAAACCCACATGATCTTTTAGGCCAGTAATTCGGATAGTCAATCGATACCAGCTAGACACCCAGAAAGTCACTGGAAAGAAACACAATTTACATAAATGTGATTGTTTTACTTCGATGACAGCCAGGTAATGAAGAAACAAAAGACAATAGACGAATTTGATTACCAATCCATGAGAGCGCATAACTTTAATCAAAAGATGAAAGCTTTAAAAACCATCCGCAAATATTCTGCTTTCGCTTTTGATCTTGCTGATGTTGTACCTCGGAAATTTCTGTAGGGTTCTTGAGGTGTTCGATTGAGGCAGAGAAATGGCGGATTTGCTTCTGAGTTCCGACATTACACGCTAACTCTATCTACTTAAATTCAATGAATTGATGGGTTAGAGATTTGGATTGATGAATTTCTGTGTAAACTTACCATATAATGTTAAATATTTAGTACTTTACATTTCAATATCTAAACTTCTGTTTTATTATAACTGGAAGCATGGTAATATTATCATTATTGATAATTTGAAGAAAAAGAGGTACCAAGATCCTAATGATTAGGGGGATAATAGGGTGTCGGTTATCCAATTTAACCACTTACCAAACCAAATAATTGGTTAATCAGATAACCGAAAACTGATTATATTGCATTGCGGTGTCGGTTGCCGTTTTGGAGGAATGTTTATAACTGGCGGTTACCGGTTGTTAACCGATAAAAACTCGGTGCACAGTTGTTAACCGCCATACATCTCCCTCTCCTCTTGCGCTCTCTGACTCTCTCCCTTCCCTCTTTTCCCAATCTCAACATTCTCCACCTTCGCCCTCTTGAATCCCTAATTCATAAATTTCAATCAAAACTTCCTGATCGAAATTTTTGGTGGAGATTAACCAACATGACAGTTCAGTTAAATCATAACTGAACCGACTATCAGCCTTATTGGTGATATTGTCTTTGTCACGAAAATGAGTAAAAATCATATTTGTATACATTTTCTTGTACCAACCAAAATTTTCAATATCTTTTCAGTTCTTTGTTTAAAAGACCTTTCAAACTAGTTCATTTGTGAATTAACGGTTCATTTATCCGACATATTTGTAAGTTAATCTTACATAATGATTTAATAAAATGTGAGATTGTTAATTTGATTTTTATTATTAGCCACACATTACGGAAGATTATATAACACTGTTATATAACAATTTTAAAATATACTAAATAAACCTTATAAAGGTTGAAGGGATAGTTATTTCTTATATATCAATCAAACAAACGTGTTATATAAGTCTCCGTAATAACTAAGACAATATGCAAAGCTAATGGAAGTGTCTTACATGATAACTAAAATTTTATTATAAAAATAATTAGTTTATTATCGCCGCGAAGCACGGGTAAAAACTAGAAATATAATTAAGTCGTCTCGATTCGCCTCAGCTCCTTATATTTAATAATTATCTCTTTCAATTTCTTGAAACAGGAATTTATATGGGCGCCCCGGTATTCAACGACAAGGACTACGGACCGCCTCTCAAGAGATGGAAAGGTTCTGCCAGGCTGGAGCCAATTTCATCGGCTGCAACAAGTACTATACATTTGGTGTAGTTGGATATATCGTTTTGGTGGTCCAGCTACGACTTCAATATGATGACTAACTAAAATTTTGTATGTCCGTGTTTTGTTAACAGTAAGATAATCGGGACACGTGCTTATGCCACAATGCACAAGGAATTGGACACGTCGTCGATGGACACCCAAGGGAACGACACTCACACAGCCTCCACCGTAGTCGGGGCGCAAGTGAAGGGAGCTAGTTTGTATAGGATCGGAAAGGGCACGGCTAGAGGCAGCGTTCTGTCAGCTCGACTCGCAATATACAAGGTGTGCATCACGGAGGGTGCCGACTACTGCTATGAAGCCGACATGTTGGCTGGTTTCGACGATGCCATCAATGACGGAGTGGACTTCATTTCCCTATCAATCGGTGGTCCTCCAGGCGAATACTTCAAAGATGTGATCTTCATCGGATCTGACCACGCGATGGGGCACGAAATCCTCACAAGCGCCGCTCTTGACAACAATGGCGGCTACCCTAATACCGTGCCCAACGTAGCTCCCTGGATTTTGACTGTCACGGCCACTGACAGGGCTAAGCAGTATAAGACCACAATCGGCCCCGAGAACAGAGTCTTAGAAAAATGAGAGAAAGATTTGGGTGGAAGAGCAGGAGACGTGGTTGGCAATGCAGTCAAAATCGGGATTTTGATCGTAAAATTGTAGGATTTTAGGATTTTACTTGGGGATTCCGATCCTGATTTTACTATAAAATCGGTGGACTTTAAAATCGTTCAAAATCAAATCGTTAAAATTGTAAAATTATATCAAAATCGGGATTTTGATCCTATGTGAACAAAATAGACGGTTTGAGCCAATTCAAAAGAAGCAAAACTGTTTTGGTGGAAAGGGCAATGACAGGAACCTTCTCAGATATTTTTCCTATTAAAAGAACATTTCAAAAAAAAAAAAATTAGGGTTAGGTTAACCTCTTTCCCTCCCCCTTGTTTAACTCATTGATAAAATAACTGTTATAATATTGTAAATACGTAAGAATTAACATCATCACTGACAAATAATTAATTAATGAATATAACTGCATCAAACTAATGAAAGTAATTATTTTATTGGAGTTCATTTATTCTTAGTTTTAAATCATGCTTAGTAGACGATGCCGGAATACTACTTTAAGTTATACTAGCTAAACACAACATCAAAACAAGAGTCAAACCCTATGAGCTATATCCCTTCCTCATAAATTATTTTGAGTTATGCATTAAATAACAATTAAAATGATGATTTTAGAATATTAATATTGAAACTTATCATTTTAAATGTTATATGTCTTTTTGTTATTAATGATTTACCTTATTAATATTATTATATATTAATTTCTATATGGTACTTAAAATCCTACAGTTCTACGATTCGATTTTACGATTCCGATTTTACTCCAGTTTTCTATTTTAGGTAAAATCCCAATTTTGACTGCTTTAGTGGTTGGTAGGAATTGACTTATTGATATCTAATCCAAACAATGCAATAAATAAATCGTAAAAAGCAAAACGGTACCATATGCAATAATGCCAATTCAGTTCCAAACTTCTATTATCTTCCACTTCAGTCCATCATGAGTATGCTGTTGACTCTCTCAAATCCTGTGTTGACTCGGATTACAGTGGAGAATATGCAGTTGCTGCTATACTTTTGGATTCAGGTTGATCCTCCAATAGAGTCAATTACACAGTAAGCTAGCTAACCAAAAGCCATGCATGGATCAAATTAATCATCATAATGTCTTCTCTTTAATATTTTTTTTATGAATGAGAGTTTTATTCATCAAGAACCAAAAATGGTTTTGCTAGGTTTAGAACAAAAAATTTCTTTTTGGAAGATTACGTACCAGCGGGTTCGGGTTAGTCGAGTTTGGGTCAATCGGGTTGCGGGTTAGTTGGATTCAGGGTTAATCAGGTTGCAGATCAATCGAGTTTGGGTTTAATCAGGTTACGAGCCAATCGGGTTGTGGGTTAATCAGATTACGGGTCGGGCGGGTTGCGGGTCATTGACTTTTAGTCAGTTCGGGTTGCGGGTTGGGTTGACCGAGCGGGTTACTCGGTGTTTTGACACCTCTACACAAGATACCACCCCTAATACCAGGATAGTATGGAGTGATATTTTTTTGTAGTGTATTTTTCCCAAAAATTTGTAGATCTAGTAGATTATGAAGAACTCGTTCCTTCTGTGCAAAAAATTTCAAAATCGACTTAAAGACGAAGGAGATACCATATGGTATGCAGGTGATAATGAGTGGTGTGAAAAAAGAAATTCTCGAAATATATTGAACATGGTCTCATTTGTTAGACCATAATGAATTTGTTCCATCTTTGGAAAAAAAAATTCAAATTCAAATTAGAATTAGAACAAAAAAATAAAAATCAATTAAGAAAACGAGAAAAATAAATAATAAAAACTTTAATTCTCAATCCTTAGATTTAGACCCTTTTGAGCCCACTCTAAACTAAAGACCGAGATTTAGTTATGCTAGGTTATCCAACATAACATGAGCCATTGGTTTCTAATACTTTAACTTTACCATTCTAGCTGCTACCTACCTTTCCCCATATAATACTATAATAATATGTGTAATTAAGTAAGAACCAATCTATAAAAAAAAAAAAAAATTAAGTAAGAACCAAACAGACTAAAAAGGAAAACAAGAATAAAATCACAATATCTATCTAAAATGTTGGCAGGAGGAGGATCTTGTAACTGATCATCCTTCACCAGATAACTCATCTCGACAATTATCACTTGTTGCTAATTGATTTGGTTTGGTGATAGTTATATATAATGACATAGAGAACAACAAAACTTTGCTAATTATATTTTACCCCAATCCGAACCTAACCTCGCTTCATTTTATTATATATTAACACTCAAATCCATCTCAGTCACTAACTATTTTCTCACGTCACATATCATCGCCAGCCGATTCATATGGCTCCGACGACTCCTAACGTCAAAAGCCGGGTCTTGATCATCGGGGCGACGGGTCTCATCGGCCGGCATGTGGCGGAGGCTAGCCTTGACGCCGGTCGACTCACCTACCTTCTCATACGGTCGACCTCTTCCGCCGCCGACGACCCTTTAAAAGGCCAACTACTCAAGTTTCTTGAGGACAAAGGTGCCATCATCGTACAGGTATTTCATCTATGAAATAATTAGATTGACTTATGTAACGTACAATGTTTTTACAGACGTTTTTTTTTTGTATTATTTTTTTTATGGCTAGATGTTTGTTTTTAGACGTGCAAGTGCTAAAAAGCAAACATCATAGATACGGCATCAACATTTTTGGACATGCTAAAAACAAAATGTAAGCAGAATAACTTGTCAAAGTCCAACAGCGAGAAATAAAGTTCCCCTGTACTGGCCTTAATGCAGATTAAGAATCAGATACCCTTTGGAAAGATAAAGCTTGTGTTAATGACATACTACTTGTTCTACCATCCACCTCGGGTTATTCATTCACCAAACCTTAAATCATAACTACTTCTTACTGAAATACTAGATTTGCATGGATCTCGTGTTTTTTTTATGTTTGGCTCAATATACTAGATTTGCATTAATAGGTTTGCCACGTCAGAGTCAACTGATAGTTGACCGGACGGAAAGTTAACGATTTGACTATTATATTGTTTTCGAAAAGGTTTTAACTATTATTTTGTTTACAACCAAAAGATTTGGCTATTAAATTGTATTAACCCTATTATTAGAGATGACAAAAGGATTGAAAAGGGTGTAGGTGGAGCGATCAGAAAAAATCCAAAATGAAATTTCAATAATTGTTCACAGCAAGAAGCAAGTAGTGTGGCCAGATGAAAATTTTAAGAGTCGATTTCCTTGCGTAGCTTTTGTTTTTTTTTACTTGCAGAAAGTACATTAGTCAATAAATTGGACCATGTTGTAAATTATACGAGTATGATATTTACTATAACTAAATGATTTGTAATTTTATGAAATAAAACATTTCAGACAATTATCATGGTTATTCATAATATTAATAAAATTCACCCGGCGGTCGGGATTACCTAAATCTCGTTGTTAGTTAGGTTTATGCGTTGTAAGAACTCGTATAAATTGGTTGTTATTGTCATGGAATAAAGTAAGAAGACTGGAATCCAACTACATCGTTTATTAATTTATTTCTTAGTTCGTAGAAGTGGCTCGTAATTAACGTCTATAATCAAACACCACATGGCAAGTAACAGTTGCAGGACTTAGGCAACTTGAAGTGACATTGTCCAATGGACCCAAAACCGAACTGTTGCCAACATTCGTCGTGACACTGACAAGGAGCTGAAGGAACCTTCAAACAGCTCTTGTTCGTAGGTATTGTAGCTTTGAAGAAAAACTTCAGTGCCGTGTCTGCATCCACTCCAGTTAGTTGCTTTCCTGATCATTCATTCAGTTACAAATACATTACAACAACATACAGTATCCTATATTAATTCAGCCACGGCAATGTAATAATAATAGTAGTATTCGAATGAATGGACTAGAAAATTAAGGTTAACAAAGAAACTGACCAGCAGTGAAGAGGAGAACCAGCAGCAAAAGGAACGGTGTCGACTTCATGTGGTTTGCTCTGGTCCGGCCGGATCTTCCTTCCTTTTTCTCTCTTAATTCGGTAAACAACGCTCTGAATAGACCTAGCAATATATGCATGGAATGGAACTATATATATATATAACGTGTATGGTCGTGAACGCTCTTATTGGTTTGGTACTAATTTAATGTCATTTGTACATTTACCTACCTTTAATTGCCAGTAATTAATTCAGCATTATCTCTTTAGCTCAACGGAATGGAAATGGTGACCATTTTTAAACGATGCGACTTAATTAATTAATTTGTTGTTCATTATCCATTAATGCTCGAATGTGAAGGAAACTTCTTAATTCTTATCAACTCACTTGACCTCCTCTAGACCTCTACTCTATCTTTACTGTCGTTAAGGAACAAGTAAACCGCCGCCAATATGCTTTGTATCATATCTAATCCCCAAGTTAAGATGTAATTAAGTACCATTCAAAATAAGAGTTAAGATGAAATTAATTAAATTACACTACCCGACCACCATTAATTATTCTCATACAATACAGTTTTGTTTGAATGGTAAATCAGTGTCAATGTTCACCTACATTGTATATATATCCTCTGAACGGAAGGAACTCCAAATCGACTTGCTATCTAGTTAAATTTTCCATCTTAAGGTTGCCCAAAGAAAATAGATAAGAAGATCAAAATCCACGCTGGAGCATGAAGATTCGGTCAATTCTTGTCCAATGCTTGCTGGTTCTCTTTGTCATTGCCGGTGAATTTCTTTAATTGTTGTTATATATGTTTTTCTCTTCCGAGTTTGAGATTTATATGTTCAAAATGTACGTAGTCAGATTGTATTTGATGAAACCACCGGTATTTGATTTGATTTGATTGATCAGGCACGCAAGCAATTGAAATTCCAAATGTAGGCCCAGCAACAAACCTTTGCCGGAAAGGTGGATTACCCGTTGCTTCCGGAGATTGCATCGGCCATTTTGATTGTGACTGTGGATGTGCTCAGCAATTCGGATCATCGGCTGTTGGCCAGTGTGATCCTCAAGCACTTTACCTGTGCAACTGTTACTTGCCCTGCACGCAGGATTTTGGGTGTGCTCCGATTTCGACTAATCAAGATCGGGTGAAACCTGCACATTCGAATCCCATTCCGGTCAACACGATCGAGAATATTAATTGCGAGAAATATCGGCCTACCTGCCCACAGTGATTTATACTGGCCAAACTATATATGATGGTCCAAATTCCATTTTTGTTTCGGCAGAATAACTCCTATCGTGAAAACTTGTCATGTTAGGGTCACATATGTTTCGCCGTCAAGGAAATTCAGAATTTTTAATAAAAATTCAGAATTCATACCTCCAACTCATTCCACGCGCCTATTTCAGATTGACTATTTTGCTATGGGATTGGTTGGATATATGAAAATAGTGATAAATTAGTCTTTTAATTATTCATACAATATTTAATGTTGATGATATAGGAACAATTAGGTCTCTTCGTTGACATTTGATCATAGGCGGAGCCAAAGGTGTTGGGAGATGTCCCGTGACACCTGTAATTTTTTGGGGAAAAAACCATATATGTATCAATCAATGATCAAACTCATTGCTTGTTCCATCAATCATTGCTTGTTCCAATGCCTCCATGCCAAGGTGGCATGGAATGCCCTGTTTCCGTCTCTCCCTTTACCCCCTCAAGGAACCTTGTTCTTTGACTGGTTCTGCTCACTTAAAGATGTTGTTCAACATAGCTCCTTGATCCATATTGTTTTCCTTTGTTGGAACATCTGGAAGGCGAGAAACGAATGCACCTTCAAGAGTAGAATTCCTTGGCCTCCGAAGGTGTGCCAACTTACGTATAAAGAGCTTACTGAATGGAATTCGTGCCCGAGGTCCCCAGCTCCCCTGCCTTCCCATCCCACTCAGCTTAGGGGAACCCAGTCTCATACGAATCCACCGCCAAGTAATCAGTCTTTGGTGATTCACTGTGATGGGTCGTTCATTAGCGACTCCCAGTCGGCGGCATATGGTGTTGTGGTTGTTAACCACCATGGACAAGTTTGTGATGGAAGAGCTGAGAATCTTCTTTGTTCCACCCCGATTGAAGCGGAAACTAAGGCCCTTCTCGAAGGAGTGAAATTAGCTCAAGAATATGGAGCCGAGTGTACGGTTCAATTCGACTGTCAGGTGCTGGTGAAAGCTTTGGATAATGATCGTTCTAGATGGCCATGGAGGTGTGCAGCATGGATCGGATCAATTGTTTCTATCCTCCGACCAAACCCTCTCATCAAAATCAAAGAAGTGCCCGGAACACTTAATGTTAGAGCAGATTGGGTTGCACGATCAAAAGCTCGAGCATCGCTTCCTGATGATTGGATTAATATTCTTGACCTCATTTCTGATCTTCTTTAAAGATTGTAACCGAGTTTCTCGTCTTTCATTTGTTTGGTGGAATAAAAGTTGGTAATCTTTGTCAAAAAAAAAAACAATGATTAAACTCATCATCTCTAGGTGATATAAGAGTGTTTTACCACTACACTATAAATTATTTCAAGTTGAAAAACTAGCACAAATCAATTATCACACTATAACCAAGATTCCAATTGAAATATACCCCAAAATCGATCTTTCTATCTTTTAAAGTTAATTTTGAATCTACCCATTACAACGGCAAGTGTCAAAAGAGAATTTTCCACTTTTGACATTTGATCTATAATCTAATACCAATATTAATATATTTTAAAACAAAAAATTCGGACTGCCCATACTACACCTCACAGTCGTCTAAATCGTACGAAGTGGCTGTGGATTGAGAATTGCATTTCCCCCACCACTCATACTTGATACTTTATCTCAGTATTCTACTAATTTCCTTGTGTCATGTACCTTGCATTACTTGGCCTTGATAATTCCTTTGGATCAATCAAACTTGTCCTTGTCATTACCTAGCTGTTTGTGTCCCACCTCAACGGAAACCGTAACGAACATAATATCGGATACCTTTCTAGTGGGTATTTTGTGCTACAATCGTATAGTTCAATCGTTTCATACTGACAAATACCGATTTTGTAATAATAAAATATTTTTTTTTCAAAAAACCGTACCAGCAAAATCATCAGGGTACCGTTTCGTAATAATACCGGACTGTACCAGAATATACTAGATAATAAATAATAAATAATCATCAAAATAACAATAAATACTAAAAGATCTGAGCGGCTAGCAAGGGACGGCTTTAGGGTTGAAGTTGGGAAAGCTCTCTACCAGCAGGAGATCTCTTGGAGGCAGAAATCCTAGGAAATTTGACTCAAATTTGGTGATAAGAACACTCGATGTTTCCACAAAAGCAGCATATTACATAAGGAAGCTTAATTTAATTGAGAGTATTAAGATCAATGGTGAGAGAGTGGAAGGCAGAGAGGAAGTAGCTCAAGGAATTTGTGGACTTCTATACAGATTTGTTTCAAGAAATAGTTGGTATTCGGCCATTTCCTATGATATTTTTTGGGACTAGACTTTAGGTTAAAGAAAGTGACTTTTTGACTCGATCCTTCTCTGAGGGAGAAATTAGGGCAAGCCTTAGACAGTGATGGGGTAAAGCCATTGACCCGGATGGACTTACGTGGGAATTCTACAAGAAGTGTTGGCCATGGCTTAAAGCTGAGATCATGAATACTTTTAATGAGTTTCATAGCTCGGGTCATTTGCCAAAGAGTGTTACACACTCATTTATTTGCCTTGTACCCAAGAGAGATGTTGTCGAAGAGATTAAGGATATGATGCTTATTAGTTTAATGGGAAGTATCAATAAGCTCTTTAGTAAAGTTTTGGCTCGAAGACTCAGGAGTGTCCTTCCTAATCTCGTTTCCTTAAATCAGCATGTTCGGTGAAAGGGACACAGATTGCTGATGCGGGACTAATTGCTTTCGAGCTTTTGGATAGTCGACGTAAAAGCAAGAGGCCAGGCTTGATGTTTAAACTGGATATTGAGAAGGTGTTTGATAATGTAAGCTGGATTGTCTCTTCAAAGTTCTTTCGAAACTAGGTTTCCCCAAAAGTATTCATGGCGAGTTATGTGCTCACCTATGCTCTCCACTCATCAATGGAGAGTCGAAAGGATTATTTTCGTCACACAAAGATCTCCGACAAGGTGATCCTTTGTCGCCTAGACTCTTTGTTCTTGTGACGGATGTTCTCTCCTTTATGATCTCCAGGCTTAAGTAGGAAGGTATCATCTATGGCTTTTTCTTAAATGAGAATGATTGTTGTGGAGAAGTTACCCATCTTTTGTTCTGTGATGACACACTGATTTTTTGTGATGCCTTGTACGACCAATTGGTTAATGTTTTGGCTACATTGTGTGTTTTTAGGCTGTCACTGGTTTAAGAATCGATATGGATAAGACAGTCATGTTTACAGTAGGCCATGTACCTAACCCAGACTATTTTGTAGTTATCTTTGGATGTAAGTGGAGTAGTGAACCTTCCAAATATCATGGGTTTCCTCTAGGTGCTATGCCTAACTCTATCTATGTTTGGGACACCATTTGTGATTAGTATCAGCAGCGACTAGAAGGTTGAAAAGGTCGCTTTCTGTCCTGGGGGGAGGGGGGGGCAGATTGACCTTGAATAAAGTTGTTCTTTCGAACCAACCTGTTTACTATTTTTCTATGTCTAGAGCGTCGACTTCTGTTATTAGCAGAATAGAGAAGGTGCAAAGCAGGTTCATTTGGAGTGGGTCTGGTGATGTTAAGAAAATTCCACTTGTGAAGTGGGAAATCTGCAAAGCTCCCAAAGACCGGGGTGACTAAGGCATCATTGACCTTTCTAGTTTCAAAAAAGAAAATGTTAGGAAAGTGTCATTAGAGATTTGATACCGAGAAGAGCCGCTAGTGGAGAGGACTAATTGACACTAAGTATCCAAATGCTTTCTCTTCTTGGCACACTGGCAGAAGTAGCTCTGGCTTTGGTAGTTCGGTATGGGCAAATATTTCAAAGGGTTATGGTGATTTATAGAAGGCTGCTAGCATTGATCCTGGTGGTGGATCATATGTGTCTTTTTGGCAGGACAATTGGATTCCCGAAGTGGGTCTCGCATACTCTTTTCCATGCATCGCCGCTGCCACGTCGAACCTTGGTGCCCGAATTTCCAATGTTTTGTCAGGCTACGGTGAGAACTTGAGGTGTGTTATTCCTTTAGTTACCAATTTGAGAGGGGGGTTGAGAGAGAGGGGTTTTCTTAACAATGCTGGTATGCTGGAAAGCAATATCATGATTCTCGATGTGCTCCTGCTGTTATCGCCCGAATACAGATCAAAGCTATTATGGATTGGATAATTGCGCTTGGTAAGGTTGTAAAAGAGCAAGGCTCTCAGTGGATCGAGGATAAGCTTCACCTTCCTACTTGAGAGTATTAAGATCAATGGTGAGAGAGTGGAAGGCAGAGAGGAAGTAGCTCAAGGAATTTGTGGACTTCTATACAAATTTGTTTCAAGAAACAATTGGTATTTGGCCCTTTCCTATGATATTTTTTGCGACTAGACTTCAGGTGGAAGAAGGTGACTTTCTGACTCGACCCTTCTCTGAGGGGGATATTAAGGCAAGCCTTAGACAGTGATGGGGTAAAGCCCTTGGCCCGGATGGACTTACGTGGGAATTCTACAAGAAGTGTTAGAAATGGCTTAAAGCTGAGATCATGAATTCTTTTAATGAGTTTCATAGCTCGGGTCATTTGCCAAAGAGTGTTAGTCACTCGTTTATTTGCCTTGTACCCAAGAGAGATGTTGTCGAAGATATTAAGGATATGATGCTTATTAGTTTAATGGGAAGCATCAATAAACTCTTTAGTAAAGTTTTGGCTCAAAGACTCAGGAGTGTCCTTCCTAATCTCGTTTCCTTAAATCAGCATGTTCGGTGAAAGGGACACAGATTGTTGATGCGTGACTAATTGTTTTCAAGCTTTTGGATAGTCGACGTAAAAGCAAGAGGCCAGGCTTGATGTTTAAACTTGATATTGAGAAGGTGTTTGATAATGTAAGCTGGATTGTCACTTCAAAGTTCTTTCGAAACTAGGTTTCCCCAAAAGTGGCAGAATTGGATTCATGGCGAGTTATGTGCTCACCTATG